ATGTTCGTGCCTAATGGTACGTAAAGTCGGCATGATTAATAGGCGTCAGTCGCTTGTTTGTTTGTTCGTCAGACATTAATGCCACGCCCCCTGCCGCCCCTGCCCAGCAGTTTATACAAGCTGCCGTTTCTTTCTGCGCTCTAATGATTTCAATACGAATCGACTGAAGGAAAAAAGAAGTCAACACACGCACCGAAATGTGTTTCATTTTGTTTCAATTTGCTTAGCTCGCTTTTTTGTTAGGGGCGTTGGCCGGTCAGGCTGTTCAGACCGGCTCAGCCATTGTTTGTCTCCATTTCAGGTTTTTATTCCTCGCTTCTGGCTTTTAGCTATGCCCATCATATTTAATTGAAACGTTTCAATTTATGGCTGCGCGCATATCAATTTACCAGAAGAACAAAAAGGGGCGAATGGCATTTGTATTTCACTCTTTTAATTGTTGTTCTTAAATTTATAATGATAGAGCCAGACTATCAACAGCATTTAATTATCTATCGAACCTTTAAAGACCAGAGTTGATTTAAGAATATATAATGTCTTAAAAGTGGCCTGTCTGTATGTTTGTGCCTTAAACGAATTCGATTTGTGCAGCTGATTGTAGAGTTCATAAAAATGTTGACACTAAAAGCATCATTAAATATGAATGAACGAATTACGCCGATGAGCAATGCGATTGTCGAAAATTTATTTCTATTTAAGCTACCTGCTGTTAGCGTCAATCTCAACTACACTCAAATCGACAACAACAACAGCAACTGAAGCAGCGGCAGCAGCAGCAGGGACTCATCAAATCGAGCACAATAACAAAAGCCAAGCTGCCATCATTTGGCAAATGCAAAGATAAACTTCAACAATGGCTTAGTGGCTCAGAATGATTTTGTTGCTGTTGTTTTTTTTTTATGTGTGTCACACGAATAACAGGAAGTACATATGCGTGTGTGTGCAATCAGACAGCTATCATCATCTATTGTCGCACTCTGCCGCTCGCTCTGCGGATAATCAAAACAAAAACACTTGCTTTTGCCATTGTAGCGAAACAGTTTTATTTTGAAAATAAAACAAAAGCCCACTTGAGCTTTTGCTCAGTTCGCAAGAACAATTTAATGCGATAGTGTGTGTGTGTGTGTGTGAGCGCACACCCAGTGTCCCCAATGGCCGAAAAGGTGTGTTCAGCCTTGCATTAGTATTCTTGCTGGCAGAGCGAGACAAAAAATATTAAAATTCCATCCAAGTACGTGAAATAAGCTGCTCTACATAAATAATATATTTATCAAATATTTCAGGCAAGAGAACTCATTCGATTGGTGAAATGAATAAATGAATAAATATAATCATAAAGCTGATTGCAACCTGTTTTTTCACTCTCTCTCTCTCTCGAGTGTCTGCTGGAATTTAAGTTGTCAACATTTTTTCAGCTGAATATAATACGGCTTTATAGCATCCTTTTCAGAGCTTTCAATGAGCCTCAAAACGAGGCTATGATTAGTGTGCCACGATGTGGATAATTGCCAGCGAGCGCTGGACATTATTTTTGGTTGCTGAATAATTGTTTAATATAATTAAGGTAAACAATAATAAAAATAAATATTGTATTCATTTGTTACAAACAAATATGCTATAGACAAATTATTTATTATTTGACCAAATAAAATGGGAAATAAAAGAGCAGAGGAAGTCTGTGTTTCCTCTCTTAAGTAATTTTTAAAATTAAAGTTTGATTTGTTTTCAAAACTAATCAAAATTAGTTATTAGTTAGTTTAAAATAATTTTAGAAAAATTGTTTAATAAAATAAGAAATTTGATATGAAGTGAAAAAACTGTTTGAAATAAAAATTGTTTCTTAAGATCTATATAGTAAGCTGCTTCAAAAGATATTTATAATTAAGTCTTAATCAAAGATTTTTTATCGCTTCTTCTCAAATTTACTTAAATCGTAGTCCCATTTTTATTTTTTTAAATATATTTAAAAATCATTTATAAATTCTTAATATTTTCAACATTTTTAATTTTATCTGATATCTTTCCAGCTTAGCAAGCACTTGCTCAGGATAAACATAGGCTTCAATATATGTAATAAATAATGAACATAATTATATAAATTCACTTCTAATTTACTGTTTTATTTTATATGTGTTTTACAGGATATGCCATAGTCGTTCCTTTACTTAAGCTTTATCTTCCTTAAAAGCCCAGCTGTGCCTCTCATGTGAATCAAAATTAGCCCTGTGTGCCGCCTAGATGAGCAGCTGGCCAACTAACTAAGTCAAGGGCAACGTTTGATTTTTTGATTTTTATTTTGAGTTTTTTTTTCTCGTCTCGTTTAGGGCCGACTGCTGATTAATGAGGCTGGCTAATGAGAGTAGGCGTCAAATTTCATGACTTGGCCTTTGCGCACTTTGCTAAAATTCATATTTAAGTCAGTCAGTTTATTTTTGGAGGCGGGGGCGTGGCTGTCAGAGGCAATCAGGCTGCAGGCGAAATGCGTCGCAAATATCAAAGAGCGTATTTACATGCAAAACAGGAATTGTGGCCCAAGTTCAGGCTTGGGGTTCCGGTAAATTCCCTTTTAATACTTATTGAATGTGGCTGAAGAGGGTAAAATGTTATATTTTCTTCTCTTTAATTTTCTTCTGTTTTCTTCCCTTTTCTTTTCATCTCTTCTCTTCACGTCTCTTCTATTCTCTGCAGAGTATTTGAAAGTTGGGTATTCCCTACCCATACAAAGTATTTTATGTTTTTTAGCTGCTGTCGCTGCTAAGTTGACTTGCCACAGACGCGCGTTTCAGCCAGAAAGAAAAAATTGAAAACCATTAGGATTAATGTTTAGTTGAAAGATTTGCGCGTTAAGCCATTTTTACATGGCCGCAATGCCGCTGCGGCTGCGAGTGCTGGCGCTCGTCCTGATGGCTGACTCCTACTCGGAAGCTGGCGCTGGCGTTGACTCGGCTCTGGCTCTTGCAATTGCTAATGTAGTTTATGTGTAACAGGCGGAGGCTTCTTAACGTTAACTGACGGCAAACCGTTATGGCTTAAGGGCGAGCGACGCACAAACGGCATGTAAAATGTGACATTTTAATGTATGCAAATGAGACGTTGAATTAAGCCCCTGGAACACCCACTCACACACACACTGACACACATACACATCAGTTGGTTTCATATCCGTTTCCGTTTGCTTTTGCGCCATGTGATATGATTTAAAAATAATGAAAGCCAACGCTCTTCAATAGCTTTAATGTTGTTCCCCACGCTCTGAGTCTCCCCTTCTCAGGGTCTATCGCTCTCTCTCTTTCTAGCAACGTGACTTGTATATCATCTACCCTCTCTTTTTCCTCCTTCGCTGTGTGTGTGTGTGTTTGCTCTGCGGAAATGTCAACTTAACTTTTTTGCGCTTTGACAGTGACACAACAACAGGAGCAAAGCTCGCCCCAACGAGGATTATGCGAGGTAGCGGGTCCTCGTCCATCTAGAGGCAATTTATTAATTTCTATGCAGCGTGCGTATCGTAATTTGTTTTGTTGTTTGCTTTTTCTTAGCTAGAAAATTACTTAAGTACCAGTTGCTTCGTTTCGATTATTTGAACTTTGCTTTGCAATTTCGTTGATTGTTTTTTATTGGCATAATTTTTCTGCCTGTCCTTGAGTTGCTTCAAGGCAAAAATTTCCCTTTGACATATTTCAAGTGGCTGAAAAATTTAATTGAGCTCACGTATTTTTTCCTTAATATTTATGGCTTTCATTTGGAACTCAAAGTTGCCCGAATATGCATAAACATTTCTCAGTATTTAACTGTAAGCGGCTCAATCGAAGATGTAATTCATGGCAAGGTTCTTTGAAGTGGCACTTCCTTTCTTGAAACATTTTTTTATTTCATTTATATACATTTATTTCACTCTTTTAATTAATATATTATTTTCTTCAATCAGTTTTTATGAGTAAATTTAATTGTAAATATTTTTTACTAGTATTTCTCTCGCTTATTTTGGAATTTTTTTTAACAATTTAATTAGTCTAATATTTTCATTGTTATTTATTTAAAGTATTTAATTATTGTTTATTTTTTTGTTATTTATTGTTTTCTCATAAATATGGTTCATATATTATTTATTTATATATTTATTATTATTATTATTATTATTTATTTATATAAATACCCTTAGAGAACATTTTGTTCAATTATCTATTTTATCAATTTTGTTTTAATATATTTTTTTCTTTCTTTATTTGTGTATATATTATAAGAAAAAAGATTTTATTAAGTTTTAATAGTATCTATTGAATTCTTTTTAAAGACATTAAATAATTTTCATTAAGTTAGCTTTATCTTCTATTTATTTACTTGTTTTAATTAAAATCAATTTTTGATATATATATTTTTTTTTTAAATAATCCTCTTTCTAAACTGCTTTCAATTAGTTCATAAATATGAATAAAATGCAATTAAATAAATTGCATTTAGCTCGATTTTAATTGCACTTTAAGCCTAATGACAAGTTAAATATAAAAATACATTTTATATTAATTAAAAATGTATAGAAAATTTCAATTCTCAACTAGTTTCAGTCTAACATTGTTGCAATTCTTTCTACATATTTTTCATTATCCAAAAGTAAACTTTGTTATTTGAATAGTCAGTGAATAATTGAAATTATGGAATATATATATTATCTTTGGCAAATGCAGCTAACATCATTTGCTTATACAAATAACATTGGCCGAGCGAATAAGGCAAATGTTTGTCCAGCTGCAGGCGTTTCAGATGGTTATCAGATCATTTGCTGCTTAAGCCAATGGGCAATGAATTTCTGGAGAAAGAGTACAGGCACACACACACACCCACACCCAAACACACTTAATGTTAAATGAACAAACATTTTCAGCTTAATTTGTGCCAGTTTTGGCAACATTTAAACATAATTTTTGGGCTCTGGCATTAATTGCAAACCATTTAAAATAATTGTTTAAAGAAGCTAAAATATTTGGGCTTTGTGGAGCACTCACCGATTAGCACTAATATCACATGTAGCATATACCAAAGCTGCAAATGCGTTGCTCTTGTCCTTTTGGCCAGGCCAACAGCTTGGCCTGCCTGTTGCTTGTGGCTGTGGCTATGGTGGTGTTGCTGCTGCTGCTGGTGGTGCTGGTGCTGGTGGCTGTGTTGTCGGTGGTGTCCATGTCCATGACTGTGACTCAGCCTGTGACTGTGACTGTGACTGCTCGGCTCTGGCATACACATGCTGGCAGTTGAAACACTTTCACTGGCTGCAAGGCTCAAAGGGCTGACTGTTCGCCTTTTGCTATTTGTGTGTTTATTTATGTGCTGTGGGCAGCGTCCAACGGGCTCGCCCACGCGCACACAGAGAGCGATTCTCGCTCGCTCTCGCCCTTTCTATTCGATGTGTTTATTAATTTCTGTGTGAAGCAAGAATTCACTTATTTAATTTAGACATTAAGTTGATATAGCTGTTTGTTGTTCTTGTTATTGTTGCTGCTCTTGTTGTTGTTATTCTTATTTTAACTGCCTGGCAATTAATCACTTTTAATCGGGCGCGCGAAATGTAGCCGGAAAACAAACGAGTAAAAGAAGAAGACGAAAAAAAAACGAAAAGCAAAGCGAGCGAAACTATTAAACGGCCAGGACGCAGCCGAAGTTAAAGACATAAATTTTGCAGCATTTTGGCCAAAGATTAATTACAACAGCAAAGCAAGGGAGAGACAGAGAGAGAGAGAGAGAGAGAGAGAGAGAGAGAGAGAGAGAGAGAGTGAGAGGCACACAGTGAATGGGACACTATTGAGGCGCATGCAACATAAATTCAAAATTTAACCCGCCCCCGCCTCCGCCTCCGCCCCACTCGGCTGTTGCTGCCTCGCATTTGATTTACTGCTAACTGGCAAACGCTTACAACAAGGCAATTGAGAGTCCTTGTTCAAGCACTTTCTCTGCCCGCTGTCGTTGTCGTTGGCGTTGGCGTTGCCGTTGTTGATGCGCCGCTGTTAATATAATAATGCCACACGCTTCGCTGACCCACATGGGCCGCACTGCAGCCAAAAGCCCATCAAACTTGATTAGCGGCAACTGCTGCCGCTGTCCCATGCCTCCCCACCGTCCCTTCCTCCACCCACTCTGATAACTTTCTCTATAAATACGCAGCCCATTTGACCTTATTATTATATATTTATAAATTGTCATTAGCTTGCACATCTGTGCAAAGCCTTTAAATATTACTAAATTGCTTTAATTCATTTTTAGAAAATTAAAATGTAAATAAAAAAATTTTAAAAATATTATATATTTACTAAAACAAAATAAAAAATAAAATGCAGAAAAATGTTCAAATTATAAATATTTTAAAAGTTTTCCTAGGTATTAAAGCAATTCAGAAAATTACACATTTCTCCCTTTCTCGCGCTCTTAATAACCCTTTACAAATTCTTAAAATAAAATTTAATAAAAATAGTTCTTAGACTGCTTTTGCAATATATATATATGAAGACCCCTTCGAGATTTTAGCAGTTACACAGTGTCCACTGCCCACAGATATTTAATTTGCAACCTGCGGCTTCTTCGTTCATGGAATCACTACCAAAGAGTGCTCACTTATGGTTTCCATTCAACAATGCCTTGTGCCTTATGCTTTTGCTCAGCTGCAGTCAGCGAGCACAGGGAGAGCGGCATTATTTCTCTTTCAATGTTAACTCCTACAAATTAATCATATCAAAAGTTTTCGTTATTTATCACTATCTTGATAACTTTTGATTTATATAATTTTCTACATATTTAATATTATGAGAATGAATATAATAAAAATATAAAAATAAAATTTGTTTGAAATTGTCGTCGGAAGCTATTGTCTTAGCTAAAACCAAATCTAATATCTCTTGTAATTGTAGTAAAATAATATACATCAAAGTTTGATCATTATAAGCTCTTAAAGACTTAGTGTACTGTAGTAAGAAACGTTCAAGAAATTTATCTAATATAGTTTGAGCTTCTTCTGCAAATTAATTATTTAAAACAATTGAAGAGATTGCACGCATCTATCATAGAGCTATATATAGATATATTGGAATATTATTTTACTATATAGACTGAAGACTCATTAGTGACATGAATGTGAGCTTTATATTCTTCTAAAATATTTTTGTGTTTGATATTTAATTAATAAAAATGATTATATTGCTGCTATTACTTTAACATCGGCTTACATATTTGCTGAATGTTTAGAATTCAATTTAAAAAATTTAGTTTATTACTTATTATTTATTATTTATTATTTACAATTTATTATTTAAGCTACAAATCAGATTTGATCACAGCACATCTACGCAAATTTCACACGTAAGTCACACTTTCAATAGTTAAAAAACGCATCTAGAGAAATGCCTGATAGAACAGCTAAACAGGATTTGGGCTGTTAAAACGTTAAAAAATCAAAACGATAAACAAAAGCCAATGCATAGCTCAACAAACAAAGCATTACAAAGTGCTTTTAATGACAACAGAAAAAAGCACAGAACAAAAAAACATAAAAAATACTTGACAAATTTTTTTACACACACTTGTACACAAAATGTTGTTGTGGTTGTTTGCACAACAATGGCAGCAGCAACATCAACAACAACAACAAAATGGCAGCTAACAAGTCGAGCAGAGATAATAAAGCAGCAGCGACAACAATAACAAATAACAAATACAAACGATAACAACAAAGCCAGAGGACACAAAAAAAAAAAAACAGAAATTGCTGCGTCATTGTTTTGAGAGCGCCTAAAAATATGCAGCACAAATTTTATGCGTGGCATAGTGAGAGCCAGCCAAGACTCAAACCAAGCGCCAAGAAGTGAAATTAAAACAATAAACACGATGAGAGGGGAGGCACAAGCAACAGAGCGGCGTACATAATTAAGTTAAATTAGTGAGTTGGCAGAGAAAAATAATGAAAATTACAATAGATGCAAATTAAGTTTAAAAAATACATAATAGAAGAAAAGCAGGATTTGTGTTGCGCGAAGAGCAATGGAAAGTCTAAAGAGAAGAGATCAGGGGCAGCATAGACACAAGCCAAAGAACGAGGAATAGGGGGAACACACACAGGTACAAAGGCAGATCGGCAACAACCAAGACTCAAACCAATCTGTGAGCAAAAACTTAGAACAAATATGAATTGAAGATTCTGACTTATATTAGACGTCATATAATAAAATATAAATGTATATTTCATATATTAAAAAATGAACTAAATGTAAATAAAATACAAAATACAAAGGAGAAAGAGAACAGATCAGTAATAGCCAATACTCAAACTAAAACTGAAACAAACTGGTAAAATTAGTGAACTCAAATAAATGAAAAATATAAGAGAAAATAAGAAAATGCTATGTAAATAAAACCAAAAGCAATATGAATAAGAAACACAATAAAACTTAAGCTGAGGAGTTCAAACTTTCTGAGCAAAAAAATGAACAGATCAGTGACAGTCAAGACTCAAACCCAAGCTGTACAAATATGGGGAACAGACGATCCAAAGGAACATTAATACAAATTTTAATATAGAACACAATGAAAAAAGAATTTATTATATTACAGACATTTTCTTTTCTATGCTTTTTCTGTCCAGTTGTAACGCTTTTATTTTAATTAACCGCAACCGCAGCAGTTCAAAATTTTCCACAAGGAACAGCAGCAGCAACAACAACAAACAAAATGCTTGATAAATGTTTGTGGCACGCAAATCGCATTTATTTTTATACTTTTTTTTATTAATATAATTTTATTTTTAAATTCGTGTTTGTCAAATTTATTCAAGCACACTTACAACTTGCACTGTATTTTCTCTGTTTTCTTTGAAATTTATTTTATTGCTCAATTTTTATTTTTTTTTTTATTTTTTAATGGAACGAGCAAAACTAACACGAAACAACTTTTAAAGCCCGCACACGACGCTTGTCCATCCAAATGCAAAAGTATTGCTGTGTGTGTGTGCGAGTGCGTGTGTGTGTTTGTATGTATATGTGCGTGTTTCTGGTTTCTGGTTTCGGTTTTTCAGTTCTGGTTCAATTCGAATGCCAAATAGCAGCGCGCGCGCGATTCAAACGACGTGCGTTCGGACTGGAGTGCAAATCATAACTAAAAAAAATTTTCAACTTCTTGTGCAAGCTTGTGGTGCGCCATCCGGCGGTCAATGCCGGAACTAAGCGTGCAACTGCAATCCTTGCGCATGCCTGAACAACGCATGCAAAACCGACGGCCCTTGAGCGAGGGCAAACAACATGCACGAGCGGCAGAGAGAGAGCCACAGAAAGCGAGAGAGCAGCGATAACACTCTCAGCTGAGCAGAGTATGCAGTTGTTCTATTTCCAAAACGTTGCGCTTCATAGTTAACAGAAAGCTCAACGCTGTTAAAATAATGGGATTTTTCGTGGACTTAGGCGGCAACGCGTTTGAAATTTGTGTTTTTATGGTTGCAGTTGATATGGAAAATAGAAAAAAAAATAAAATAATTATAAAACGAAGTATACCAATGTTGTTTAAAATTTGATTTATTGTAATTTAACTAAAGAAATATATATTATATAGTAAAGTAAATTTTGTTTGATTGATTGATAATTCGATATATTAAGAAAAATTATATATAATTTATAATACAAAATAAAACTAAAACGTCAAATGTTAATAAGTTCGTTTACCTAAAATACAAATAAATTAGCTACTCTAAAAAGCTCTTTAGGCCTTTGCTATGATAGTCACATTAAGCATACGCACTGTGGCGTGCTAAGCGAAAATCTTGAGACAATTCTTGATGAAATGAGCAATGATATGAATTAGAAATATTTTAATATAATTTAATACTTAAAATCTAAAAAGATTTTTATTTACGAATTGAATTGAAATCAAAGCAAAAGCATTTTCTTTCTCACGTCGCTTTTCTCTGATTTTTCTTAGGAAACTTTTGGAGGCAACACATTAATCAAGCAGCGTGGAGCAGCTTCCAAGCGGGCAGAGCCAGCGAAACAATTTCTATGCGCGACAATTATGAATATTTAACGAGCATTCGTTGATATGCTGCACAATTAAAAGCTATTAAAGAAAAGTAGAAAATTTAATGAAATTATATGTAAATTCCTTGCTATCTGCTGGCGGCCAAAGCCACATGCAAATAAATATGATAAATTATCACAATGTTTAATGAACCAACAAGCCAACAACAGCAAGGGCAGCCTCATACACGATATATATATATATATATATATATATATATATATATATATATATATATATTGCATGATATATGAATTTATCTATTGAGTGCAGAGGCAGCCGCATAGATGCGAAGGCAGCAAGGCACAAAGTCCCAAAGTCAATGCTATGATTAAATTTGCTTTTCATTTCTGTGTTAATAATTACATTTTATGCAGGTTTTTCAACACATTAATTAAGTATACGCAATGTTAAACGCTTCATATGAAACTGGAATTTATATTGCAGCACTTGAAACGCTCGAAAAGGTGTTGCCGGGTGTCAAAGGACATTCAAACACACACGAGCTACTTTAGCCATACATATGCAAATTTCTGACCAGCGTTGTTAGGGATACTAAGCAGCAGCAGCAGCAGCAGCAGCAATAACGTGTCCTGGGTCAATGGCATTTAACTTTATTTTTACTGCCGAATGCTTTGAGTGCAGCTGTGCAGCTGCTTGGCGCCCTCCAAGGGAAGAACAGTCGATGCGCTTAGCAAAACTATCGAAACTCTCTAAAGGCAAGGCAAGTTGGAAATGGAAATTTGATAGAAATTTGAATAAACAAAATTTTGAATAAAAAATTTGATAAAAATAATTTAATATGAAGGTTGATTTTTTAGAGGCTAACAGCTTTGAGTAGGCAGTTTTGCTTTATATGAGAGAACATTTAATAACTGAGATTGATATTTTTTCTTTTAATTTAATCTGACGTTTTAATATAATTAGATTTATTTCGAGCAACACCTGCAAATTAATGAAATTTTTAGCAAAGTTGTATTATCGAATTTCACAAGCACTTCAATCATTAGTAGCTCATCATTAGGCGGATTGTCTACGCAAGCAGAATTTTCCTTCTTAGAATTGGACTAAATTAGAAGTCTCTGTCGTAACAAAATTTTAGAAAATTAGTCTTTGTTGCGCTTTATGGGCTGGCGAAGTCATTGAAGAGGGTCATGATTATGATGCTTATAGAAATTGGTGTTCCAAATGGCTCTCACCAATTATATCAAAGTCATATTTATACATAAATGTCATCAAATAATGCATGCAATAAAGCTCGATTAAATGATATTCATACTTAATTTTTCTATTTTATTGTTACTTAAAATTGTGTAACTTTAGAGAAAACACCCAGCACAAGTGATTTTTATTGATTCTTTAGAGTTGTCCCCCTTAAACTAAAACAGAGATGAGAGTTAAATGTTGTTAAGTTGACAACTAGTAAAAAAGGGCTGTGGACTTTCGACAAAAATGTAGCAAAAGGTTCACAATTTCCACGAAAATGCCTAAGACTAAACTTTAATTGTATTTAGGCTCGAGTTTTTGGCTGTTCTTTACCAATTTCTTTACCTGGAAAAGGCTTAGTTTAGCCAATATACGGCTCGAGCTCTCAAGCATGGATTTCTATGAATTCGTAGCAAAAGATATAAGAGGCAAAGGGTCGTTTCATAAGTGAATTATGAATTAAGCTCAACAGAAAGAGAATTCCTATGAACGTTCGCTTTAAGTTTCGGCAAAGCAGAGATTAGCGAATTGAATTTGCAATGCCAATGCGAGTTGTTTGCGAATATTAAGTGCAATGCCCATAAGAGCCATGGGGCATAAAGCAACTTTGACTGCCATAATTTTGCAGCTGTCATAAAAATGGTGCACGGCCTGTTGGCGCTGCGAGCTGGGAGCTGGGGGGATATGGCTGGGCTTTGAAGAAAGGCTCTCCAAATGGCACATAAATTAATAGAAGCTGTTGCTGGCGAACGAGCGATGAGAAAAAGCAAAGCAGCACAAAGTTTGCAGCATACTTAAATAAAAATAAAATATTTCGCAATGAAAAGAAACTTCTGCACCTTGCGCCTCCTTCGGCGCCCTCCTTGCACTCTGTGGCATGGTTTTTATTGATTTATAGCGTTAATATTTTTGCTTTAATGCGTCAAATAAATTAAATTGTCTTACGCACCTTTTCAGAGCGCTGCTCGCAAAGGGCCAAAAACTTTGACGACCTCAGCTGGAGGCAGGTGGGCCGGCCGGTGGGGCGGCAGTTGTGTAGGGGCAGCAACAAATGCATAACTTCGATTTCAAAAGCAAATAAATATTCATAAAAAAATATTTTTGCACTCTCGAAAGCACTTTGCGGCGCAGTGCCAAGACACAGAATTATAAATATTCATTTATGCTAAGCGCCGACGCGTGAGTATTTGCAGGTGTCTGCGTGGGCGTTGCCACCTTCCCTCAACTGAACTTGTTGTTGTTCTTATTCTTGTTGCTGTTGCCACTTTTCGCGGCTTCTTCGGATTACTTGCCCTGGCTGGCGCTGCGTGTTGCGCGCTTTGCTGCCAATACGGGGCGTATGATTGATTTAATTACCGTGCAATGTAAGTTGTCTAACAACAGAGGACACCCTCAGCGTCCCCGCAGCCTGCATTTCAAAGCGGATTTTTTTCTTGCGGCACAGACTGTTGCGAGACCCATGACCTTTGCTCTACCATCTTGTGGCCTTGTAAATTGTCTGCGCAAGGTATTGAAAAAGTAATGAGATGACAGCTGAACAACAGCAGCTCACAGCGCCGACATTTATTGTGTACAATTATTTATTTTATTTTTTTTATTTTATTTTTATTATTTTTTCTTATTTTTTTCTTATGATTACCTTTAAGCTTTATTTTCAATGCACTTATCACAAGAAGTAATTATTATTAACAGAATTTTCAAATTCCGTTCAATTTGATCGTGGCTGCTATTGTTACTGTGGTGTTTGCTGAGACACTGAGAGCTTGCATTGCTTTGTTGTCAGAAATAATATCCGAGTGAGTTTGCGTATGAGTTGCACGCATTCATTTCTGCCTGCTGGCTTCAAGAGCCAGAGAGAGAGAGACAAATATAGCGGTTGCTTAGCATAGTCGCGGCTATTGCTGCGCGAGAGCGAGATCGCTAGTTAGACTCTTCGGACAAAGTTGCTCGACGTAGAAAACGCGTACAGAAATGCTCAGTCTGAAAAACAACATCAACATATGTATATAAATATTTCTTAATATATATCTTGCTGCTGAGTCTAGGTATCAAGGAGAGTGCTCAGTGCTTCTCTGCTCTATTTTTTGCTATCGCTGTGTGCCATCAGTTTCCATTCTAGTAGAGATCTCGCTCCTGAGCAGCATGGCAATGCGTTGAGGTGAGTGAAGTGTAGGATTTGAGTGAGGAGGTGTGAAATTCTGTCATCACAAGGCCAGTTTGAAAGTAGTTTTCGTGCAGCGAAGTTGTGAGTAATGAAGCTACGGTTAGCTAAGCCGATTTTATATTTTAGAGTCTATTCTCTGCAAGGAAACTTGTTCATTGAGTTATATTCTATTTGGCCTGCCTGTTAAATACTTTTGCATAAAAACTTTAGATTATTTATATTTACTATATTTTAAAATTTATATATTAAAATATTATATATTATATATTATTTTATATATTATAAATATTATATTAATATATTTTTATTTAATTTTATTTTTTATTTTTACTCAAACAAAACCCATTTTTTTAGATTATTTATATTTACTGTATTTTATATAAATTTATATATTAAAATATTATATAACATATTATATATTATATATATTATATTAATATATTTTTATTTAATTTTGTTTTTTATTTTTACTCAAACAAAATCCATTTGATGTTCATTAAATTCCAACTAATTTTTATTTAAAAAAATTTTTCTTTTTCCATATGCTTCAAAGCTTTCTGTGGCTAATCTGCTTGCTGTGTTGACTGCCTTTTTATGCTCAGTTTATCGAGTGTGTTGCTGTCTTTGTTACTTATTTTTTTTGAGGCAAATTCTTTATCTCATTTACTTGGTTAATTATGGCTCAGTGTTGGGACGACATAAAAGCGGAGCTCGTAAATCTTATCGGACGGACGAACGGTTACATTTTATGCGCCAGTTGTTGTGCCCATTGTTGTTGTAGTTGCTGCGGCTGCAGTCGCTGTTGTTGTTGTTGAGGCTTAGCTAAGCGCTAACGCCCGCATACACATAATTTCCGTTTTCCTTTGTAGCGCCCACAGCAGCGGCAAACAAACAAGCGGCAGTCGTACTTCATGTAATCAACATTTTAATTGCGGAAGCGGAACTCGCACACGCACACACCCACAGAGAGACACGCACACATATGTGGCCAGCGTGGCAGAGTGGGAGAACAAATTTAGCGTGCATATCTGTTACACATTACGCATACGCAATGTGTGCTGCTGTTGCTTTGCTTTGCGTTGCGTTCTTTGTCGCTGGCAATGCAGGTGTTGTATCTATAGAAACCCGCTGTGCACTCACTGCATTAGTGACAGAGAGGCAAGAAGAGTGACAGAGAGGGAGAGAGTGACAGCAGCACGTCGGGAATTCATTACATCAAATATAAAGAAAGTTTTAGGCAATTTGACAGAATCCGCTCACCCCAACCCAAAAGCAGAACGAAAATATATATATATATATATCTGAAAAGCTGTAAAAAAAGAAGAGAGAGAGAGGGATGGATATGGATATATTCCCTTGGCTCTGCAGCTGTAACGAGCTGCCTGCATGCAGGTAGCCCGAAATCTACTTAGCAAATGGGGGCAACGTGAACGTAAACGAATTTGCGAATATGCAGCAACAGCAGCAGGTGAAACTTCAGAGCCAAAGCCACAGGCACATATACACATAAACACACACACACATATATATATATATATATATATATATATATATGGATAGGTGGATAGATTTCTGTGTATAGGTAAGTTGGGCTGCCGAAACACTTGAGCGACAATGGCAGCAGCCAAAGACCCGTTCGAGAGCTGCTGCTGCTGCTGCTGCTGGCTTCGTTCTTATTCCCTTTTTTACAGCTGCCGCAGCAGACATGATAAATTCTCTTTAGTATGCGGCATACATGAGTGATGATATTAACCAACAACAGGCCAGCCAGAAACGTGCCAGCAGGGAGTGAGCAAGGGGCCAGAGGCGAGGGGCAAACGGGCCACCTCAGCAGGTGCCAGGCAAGTCAAGTCAGTCAGCCAGCTAGCAAAAAAATGAAGAAGAGAAGCAACAGCAAGAGCAAGTCAACTCAAGTTGATAATATCCTAGGATTCTGGGATTTAATAAGGCTTATTGCTTGGACAATTGAAGGAGAGAAATGTTGAAGGATAAAATATTAAAAAAATATTTAAATATTTTGAATAAATAAAATAAAAAAAAATATGAAAAATTAAAAAAAAAATATTTAAGTAAATATATATATATTACAGTAAAAACTGAACAAACTCGTGGAAACACTGCAATTATATGTTATAGAAATTCGAGTTTTTGAAATTTTAATATTAAAATGAAGAATTATCTAAAAAAACATAAATAAATTATAATATATTTCAGCTTTCGTATGTACAAATTAATAAATATATATATTATAAAGAGCTTATGTCTAGTTTATATCATTTGTCTTTTAATGTTAATTGTGAATATGTAACGATTGTATGATTTAATGGAGACTAATCGTGCTTCTGCCTTTTCTTCATTTAACGTGGGCATCTCAGAATTCATTTTACTTTATTTTAATAATTGCGCCAAACTCGGTCGAAGTGACTCTTTTTCTCTGTTCAGCATAGTGTGCCGCCAGAATTGCACAACACCTGAAGACTATCATATTATTATCTTCGATCAGACCTCTTGAACCTCTTTTTTATTTCACTCTTTTCTCATAACATAATGTTACTTAACAGTTCTTCAAACTAGCATTAAATGTTAATGAAATAAATCCTAGACATATGCAAGACTGAGCATATGTAAAATATATATGTTATAAATTACAAATGTTGTGTCTTCAACTACGTGCATCAACAGACTTATTCATAATATATTTGTATAATATATATGGAGAAATATTTATATTAAAAATTTAATTTACTTATTATTTAATTTATTTAGGCAATTGAATTTAATTTTTAATTTTAATTTAATTTATACAACCACATATTACTGCAAATCTAAACCATATAAAGTGCCTTCTACTACTCCCTTCTATGACAAAAAGAAGATCACTTTTGGGCACTTTTCGCCTTTACAGGGTATAGGAAAATGAAACTACGCTGGGAATTCTTGTGGTGCTGGGCGCTTTTTTCGTTGCGGTAATTGTCAGTGTATGTGTGTGTGTTTGTCCGTGTGCAGCGGCAGAAGAAGTTGTTAGTGGGTTGACTAGCTGCGTATCGGGTCGCAGTTGGGCTAAAGTGAAAACTTGCTGTTGACGGCGTTTCGATAATCTAATACGCTGGCACAACCTACAGCCACTTTTGTTCGATTTGAAATGTTTCCTTATTACACTTTTGGTGCCTTGCCGAAAAGCTCATTTATTTTGTTGATTTTTAAGTTACAGTTTTTTCGTTTGTTTCTTTCTTTCTTTCAAGAAATCTGCAGCGATGACTACTGAACTGGGTGTGAATGAAGAATATGCAGCTGAGCAGACGGCTGAGAAGTCAGCTGAGACACTTCCCACAGAAGCAACTGAAGATCCTCTCCATGAACGCAAAACCAGCTTACTCCAACAGTTTATCGATCAGTCAGTCAAGGAAGATGAAGATATAGCACAGAAACACTATTTGGATAATTTGGACGAGTTCATGGACGAGGACTCTGAGCCAGATGAAGCTTCCATTGAAGCTTCCATTGACTCAGAGGACATGGATCAATACCATGAGTCCCCGTCCATGAGCAGCACAGATTCTAGAGATTCCCACAGGGCATCACAGCCGAAGGAAGTCAAACCAAAGCAGTTGCAAATAGTGTCGCCATTAAGCAATGATCTTGATGAGCATAGCCGAGACAATGGGCGATCTTCTGGGGTGCAATTAGCACAACCTTCCGCTTTGCCAAAAAAGAAGCTGCTGAATATAATTCATTCGGATGATATTTCGGAGAATTTGTCTATTAATTCAACTTTATCGAGTGCCTCCCAGATTCAACATGACTATATCCGCTTGCGAGGTAGTTTTCTATTATTTGGCGTAGCCATACCCGACATCAATGAACTCACCGAAGGAAGTAGCAGCGAGCTGCTACCAGTGCAAAAGCAGGTGAACGAGTCTCCAAGAACGTTGATAGCACCCAAAAGCAATGCCGCTCTTCTTTCCGAGGACTACGATCCGGACAGTCAGAATGGAGAGCATGAAGAACGCACGACAATAAGCAGCTCCAGCGTTAGCAACGTTGTATCTATGTGTAGTTTGAGTGATACATTCAAGCCGATCGATGTGAAGCGAAAGAAGCTGGAAATCGACGTCGATTTCATAGCTGAAAGAATGACAGAGTTGATGAAAAAAAATGAGGTGCTGCTGAAAGTGCCCAAGGACGAAAGCGATCAGCAGCTCTCTGTATCGACTAGAATTTGCAAACTATTCATGCGTGAGCTAATCAGTCGGGCAGTCACTTACGTTGAGGACAGCACTGGGCGACTGAGTCGCAACCTCGATAAGCACAAATTGGCAATGGAGCTCGTTTCGCTGATGTCACAAATCCGAGTTGAAGCGGACAAAAAGAACATTTTGGACAGCGCGGTCAGCGATCATTTTCTGCGCAAGAAGCAAATGAGTTTTATAACGAATAATAATCAAGACAATGCCTTCAATTACAAGCGTTGGCAAATGGCCCTCGTCAAACTTGATCGACTGCTTGAGGTCCAGCGCAAAACCTTTGATCTGGCTCACAGTCAGTCGCTCAAGTTGAACGAGGAACTTGAGCAAGCGCGTGTCGACAGCGACGAAAAGATAACAAGTTTCGAGCAAGTCGTACGCGAAACTCTCCTTACCAACGACAGTTTCAGTCATCTGTCCGGCTATGTGCAGGACGTTTTGAAAAGGATGCGTAACATTAGAGATGAGTTGTCCGAGATGCGACTGGAGCTGTTGCTCACCCAACATCGATTTGCCGATCTACAAAAGGTAAGACTGACGGTGCTCTGGGCCAAGGCCAAGGCCTTAATAACTCGTTTCGCTTAGCAATCAAATGAACTCGAAAATGTGGCCAGTGGATTCAAACTGCGAGATTATCTTAATCAACAGACAGAGACCATCATACTAAACACTAAAATTGCAGGTGAGTTAAGCCAAAACTATCTTCTAAACTTAATCAATTTATGTCACTTAATATGACTACTTCGTGTAGAGCGCACTGCGGAGCTGAATCGTCTACGCGCGCGAGTCCATTTTGATATGCACGCGCTGGCCCATGTCAAATGCAAGATTCACATGGATCGCAAGAACTACTTGAGCTTGCGCAGGCAGCGCGAAAAGTGTGCAGAGACGGTGCACAAATATAAAGATCGCATCCACCAGGGCAACCAGAGGCACAATAGCATTCAACGGCAGCTGTATAAGCTACGCGAATCTGGCGAGTTGATGTTTCATCCAATTTTGATGGAAGACTACGACCAGACGTTGGAGTACCTCAAGGCCAAATCGGCATCAGTTGAGAAACTTCGCTCGGACTTTGCTTTCTTGACGAAACGCATAACTATAATGGATCCAACGAATGTTGACATTTTGTCAATAAAACCTCCATCACGATCAGGAACAGCGAACAAAGTGTCATTTCGTGTAACTGGAGGCAGTATTTTATAAAAACATTTAATTTCTATTCTTTTTTCTCTATTGCTGCACTTTGAGTTAAATGTAAAGGGTAAGGGGCAGCTCTGTGTGCTGATTGAATGTCGATCAGGGTTTTCTGTTACCTAATAAAAATATTCAAAGTCTTTGTCAGGATCAACAGGCGAGGCGATGTTTATCGATTACGTCTTTTCGTTTGTAATTTCTTTTTTCCAGCTGTCTGTTCGTCTGTTGCTTCTTCCATCCGTCCCTCCGTCCGTTCCTCCATTCATCGGTCTCTTCGTCATTCACTCCATCCTTTGCTCCATCTCTCCATCTGTCCCTCTATCTGTCCCACCATCCGCCCGTTCCTCCATCTATCCCAAATTTTCGTCCCTCCTTCCCACCATTCGTCCTTCTATACGTCCCTCCATTCATCTGTCCCCAGCTCAACCCCTCCATCCGTCCCTCCATCCATCCCTTCGTCTATCGCTCTATCTATCTATCCGTCCTATCTATCCCTCTATCAGTACATTCATCTATTCATCGCTCCATCCCTTCGTCCTGTTATCTGTCCCTCCATCCATCCCTCGATCCGTCCCTCCATCCGCCCCTTCGTCTATCGCTCTATCTATCTATCCGTCCTTCTACTTATCCCTCTATCAGACTATCCATCCATCCGTCCCACCATTCATCTATTCATCCCTCTACCCTTCCCTCCATCCAGCACTCCTTTCATCCTTCCCTCTATCCACTCCTCCATCCGTCCCTCCGCCACAAGATTTGTCTGGTCATCCTTTCGTCTGCCAGTTTCTCATTCCTTCTGCCTATTCGCCTTTTCGTTTGCAATCCGTCTTATTTCTTCCCATTCATCCATTCAAGAGATCCTTCTTCTGTCAATCGCTTCTTCTGTTTCTCCCACTGTTCATCTCTCTCCGTGTGTACGTTCTTCCTGTGTGCCATTGAATAAATCGTTTTTCTTTGCGTCTTAAGTTATGTCTTTTAAAAACTTAAGAAATCAAATACTTAATTCTTAGCTCCCAAACCTCATTTGTGGCTTGTCCCATCTAAACATTTTTTGTACATCAAGGAGATGCTCATCATATTTCGAAATAAAGACTTCCAGGAACTAATTTCTTACCATTTTCTCACCTATTCAATTATAAATTCTTACATTTTCATTTGCTGCATTCGTGTTAAAGTTGATGTTTATGAATAACCGCAAATTTCCTGTCATTGCCTGTTCAGGTCATATACGTGTCATTTCACTAAATACATAATAACAACAATTGCAAAAACTGTCGTAGCTATATCTCATTCATACACTCTCTCTCGCTCTAGCTCTCTCTCCGTCTCACTCTCTGCTTCTGCTTATGTTCATATATTTGAAGGCACACAGCGGGACATGTTTCTGCCTGCTCGCATATAGAAAAGTCATGTTTTGCATCTTTTGGCAGCTGCCATATATCTTAGTACGGCACAAACAAGACTAACAAACATTTGGATACATAGTCAACTGCACGCACACACATACACACACACACGCCAATACACATGTCAGGGCACACACACATGACTACACACAGGTGGAAGAACATTGTCAGTGTATTAGTTCTGTGGCCAGCTCTAACGACAGCTACCAAAACAACAAAGATAGATAGAGAATGAGAGAGATAGAGAGAGATAAAGAGAGACAGAGTGTGTGAGAGATGAAGAGATGCAGATGAGCAACAAACAGGAGATTTTGGGGCAGCTGTGGACGGTTCCTTGGTATGCACAATTCATGTTGCACTTATACACCAAAGCTAGTTCCAACAACTGGTATGAAAAGGCCAGCAACCGACTGCATCATACTCGTTCAAGAGTTCAGTAGAAGGTCTTCAGGTCGTCAGCTACAAAAATTGTTTAGCCTAGCTCAAAGAGTACAAAAATATAAAGAGAGTACAAATTCCCAATGTGAAGCTCTCAGCTACTAAGCCATTAAGTCAAGTGCACAAAGCTAATATACTCTTCGCACGCCGTAAACGAGTATATCAACAACAGCAGGCGGCAGTTAGCTGGGCGAGGGAACGCAGACGTGAAGTGGCAACAACTAATAGCAAGGAAGCTGTGCCGCCAGCAGCGGTGGCAGCTAGCACCACAGCCACAGGCAGAGCCACAGCCGGGTTAATGGTAAAGGTGCTGCCCCACTCCCCTCCCCTCCCCTCCCCGTCCTTCTCACAGCCACTCATGCCCTTGCCATTCTTGTCTGATTTTTTAGGTATTTTTTTGCTGGCCAACATTTGAGCGCTCACGTGTGTTTGGCACGCATGTTGCAAGCGCTTATCGGCATCGTCGCTGCGCTCGAGGGCAATGGAGGAGGGAGCTGCTGGTTCGGGCAGGCAAATGCCACTGACAGCGACTTGGGCAAGTTGGTTGGGGTGTTGAGGCACTTGGTACTTACTGCACTTGGCTGTTAAGACGAAATGCCGTTAGCAACGAGTAAATTCGATTTTGCACTTGAGCCGCTTGCAGCTAATGCAGCCAACGACCTGCCACATCAGCCAAATGGCCACGCCCAAAGGCTAAACCCACTGTCCCTACTCTCTCTCTCTCTATCTGGCTCTGTCTCCCTTGCTCTGCTTTGCTCTTGCTGTCAAGTTGCAACGTTTTTATGCGCCGGCCGGCCAAGTGGAAGAAATTGCTGCGAAAAAATGCTGAAACTAAAACTAAGGACTAAAGCTAATGTGCTCTGCATATTTTCAACGAGGGCTGTTCAAATGATTGTAAATATTTTATGTTTGAACTGGAAAATTTTATAGATACTAAAAATATAAACATTGCAATAAATAAATATATAGCTAAGCAGACAGAAAGATATATACAGAAATAAGAGGAAAAGATAAAGGATGTTGTTTTTAGAGGGTGACACCTTTTAATTGACAACTCTGTCTTATTTGACAAGCCATTTAACAGTTTATAAATGGTTTTTGTGCAGTTTGCCTTGACTTTTTTTGTGAATAGGTTTACGCCAGAGCAACCCTTGCTTATTACAAAATTTGATTAAAGTCTCATTTATATATAAAGTGACATTTATCGTGCACTTCGTCCATTTTATGGCGTAAATAATGATGTAGCCCATTTTTGGTTATCGCATTTATAGAAAGTGTAGTATAACACAAGCTTTAGTCGATCAGTATCATTAGATCATTACATGCTTATCGAATTATTTTTTTGAGCTGGCAGAGTCAGTGCGCCAAATGTCTTCCAAAAACCTAGATGGTTATGAATGTTATTATTGTGAAAATTAGTGTTTCAGACTGCATGTTATACGCGGCAGCCATGGCAGCCTCTTAAATGTTAATGTACTGAAATGCTCCATTCAATAGAGCCGGTTTCATAGATATACACATCTGTTTAATTGTTTTATTCTGGCTTTTTTGTGTGCAACTTTAAAAACACCCGACTGAAAGGAGAAAATATAGAGCTAGATCAATAGCTGAATAGTTATAAAAGAGAGTTGTGTACAATAATAAATGTAGAAATTAAATTAGAAATTATTATTGCTAAATTACTAAATAAATCAATTATTGAATAAATCTATTCATGAATTGATAAATAGTTTCTAATGCAATTTTAGAAATATATTTTGATCAGCATTTAAAATGTTTTTAGTGGAATTATTAAGATTATATATATATATATATATATATATATATAAATAAATATATATATATATATTCTTTTTTTTTATATGTATATTTTTTGTTAAATGAAATTTATATATATTAAATATTAAGTAAATATAAAGTAATTTACATATATCAAGCACACCCTTCAAAACAATTTTACGCCTATATAAAATAAATTTGCTTATCTTTCAGAGATATTCAAACTCTACTTTCGAAACTCACTGGAACGCCCTCGCCCAGCTGTTGGTTAGTTTTGTGATATTTTGAGGGTTTGAGGCGTCGTCAGTCGCAAGTAAAAGCAATTTCAGGTACTCGACTGGAGGACGACAAACAATTTGCATATGCAATGCACGTGCGCATCTTCAATTTACAATTTGGAAGCGGCTAAATACGTATCTGTGCGATAGATCTATAAACCAATTTCCGCAGCTGAAGCAAAAACACATCCGATTTGTACTGCAAATGGTTGTAGTTGTTGTTGTTGTTGTCGCGTCTCGCTCAATTAACACTGTCCTATTTTTGGCGCATTTCCTTTTCATAGCATTCTGACGATGACGTTGCATAAATGTTTCCGCCATTTTGCAAAATATTATAGCACACAGAGAGAGAGAGAGAGAGAGAGAGAGAGACAGCTGCACGCAAATGTTTGCATGCGCTTTCATTAAGCCTTTATTTTAAATATTTATAAATAAAAAGCAACTATTTTGGACCAACTCTAACCAGTGCTCTACACACTCAACAATGGCAAATGGCGCCACAACTAGGACGATATCCTGTTTCCCATTGTATGCCACTTAAAGCGAGTCGCAGTTTTCGACTTCTGCAAGTGTGTGAGCCAGTGCGTGTGTGTGTGGTGGTGTGTGTCTCTGTGTGTGTGCGAACATTTGAGTAATAAACTCATTTCATATGCTGACTGCTTTTTCATTTCAAAACTTTTTTTGTAGCCAGTGTGTTTCTTGTTAGCCAAGCAAGCCGCATGATATACGAGTTCTCCAACTGTTATGTGCCTCCCTCTTTCATCCTTTCTCTTTCACAGTTTTGTTGTGCTGTGTAGTTTCTAGTTAACTATTTTAGTTGTTGTTGTTGCTGTTTTATTGGGTTGTTTTTGTTGGGTTCGTTGCTTGCGGATTAGTTGCAAAATTTTGGTTGAACTGCAGCAGTATAAAAACAAAATATTATTAAATATGCATAGGCGAGCCAACTGCAGCTCAGTTACCTGTTAAATGTGGGTGAAACTGGCTGTCAAATGCCTGACACAACGATAATGAAATTTGCACAGGCCACGTCAACATAGCGCCATTCCCTTCTCCATTGCTTCCTCTCTCTCTCTCTCTCTTTCTCTCTCTCTCTCTACTGCAGCTAAACACGTTGAGTGACATTTTAATAAAGTGCTCACTTGTTCAATTAAA